AAAATTATAGGGTAATCCATTTTGCGGTTTCGAAAAGAAACAACAATTTTGTACGTAATCGAGTGCGCAACGTGTCTCGTCGCTCAAGAATTTTTTTTTTTGGAAAACTGCCATCCATGGCATGTTGTGAACGGTTAGCTGGCTTCAGTTGTTTTGTGGGCTGGACTTTATATGGATGTAGGTCTTAGTCTAAATGCAAATTACCCCATATAGTCCCAGCTCCTTGAAATGTCGAGAAAAAGCCATATTCGGGTCTTCAGCTACACTTTCACTTGCAGTAGTGTAATTTGATGTAGAAGGAGCTAAACGTTGATGCACAGTCCTTACAATATCTGTAAGCGATACAGTCTTTTTACATTTGCTTAAATATTGCCAATTGCTTAAGTAGTTGGATAATTATGTGCACGATAGTCTCATCTTAAAGCATGAAACGTGACCACGTTTGAATCACCATCAAAACTTTTAACAATTTTAACGCGTTGTGCGGTTATTAAGCGATTCATTTGCTTAACTATTACAAAACTTGTTTGCTTCGACAGTTAAGTTTAACAGATGTCAAAATACTGTTCAATCCGTTACGCCGTAATATAATAATAAAAAAAATATATATTATATAACGTGCCGCAGTATGATGAGTTTCTCGATTCAACGAAGTTTTCCAAGTATCCTAGAACCATCCATAAGGTGTATTGCAAATACCTAATTCTATGTTATATTTATCTTCTTATATCGATATTAAGAAGTTATAGCTATTCACAAAACTACGCACAAGTAGCCTGGGATCTTCGTTTCATGTTTGCCTTAAATACTTCGAAAAAAATTTCCCGAAATATGAATGTTTAAATTAGAAATATTTCGTTAGCGATAAAATACTTGTTCCCAACAAAATCTCAACACATTAAAGTTATTTTTCGCAGTGTAATCCAAACAATACTATTTCTGTACTGACTGTTTAAAAAATAAACTAAGAATTACGCGTACGCGTACATCAAACAGTTAGAGACAAGGAAACCCTCTTACCTGCACTAGAGAACGTGCGAGCGCACGAAAAGGAAGTAAAAAAAATTTAGCAAGCGAAACTAACTAACCATTTGCTCATAATAAAATTTTGATTTCCGAAACATAAGCTGGGAACTGTGCACCCATCGTGACAGACCGTCACGAATGCTCACAACAAAACGTTAAAAAACGACAATAAGCAAATACACTTATGCGGTGAAAAAAAATATTCGCACAGGTAGCGTGGAAAATTGCAAAAAATAAATAAGAGATAAAAAATAGGTATTCGTATGTCAACATTTTAAAGGCTAAAAAATATTCTGCAATAAATACAAGAAAAACAGAAACAACAAAGCAGGTGGTCGTCTCAACGCATCAACCTGTAGAAGTCATATATTTTTGAAGCAAATGAAAATTACAGCAACGCGAAACACAGCAGCACTCCACCAAAACAAACTAACATATTTTTCCAAATATAAACAGCAAAATACCCGCTGAGCGTTGAGGCGGCTGCTGGTTTTTACCCTTTAGCTATGCCAAGTGGATAGTATGGCAGTGGTGAAAGCATTTTGCTAAAATTACATACATAGATGTACTTGTGTGGCAAGACTTTCACAAAAACAGGGATGAATGAAAACAAAAGAAAAAATTGTTGCACTCAGTCGGATATTCTGTGACGCCGGTGCCTAATATTTGCGTTAACATTTTGACTATCTTAAGAACACCTTTCTCCACCCGCACCCCTAGTACTCGTAGCTCTGCGCACTTAATTTCTTCATAAGGTTTTAAACAGTAACTACGTGTGATCCTAAGAAGGTGTTTGATATTGAATATATTGCATTTGAAGACCAAAGATATGAGATTGGCATATAAATGAAGATTAGTGACCGCAAGATTAATCTCAAACGTAAAGCGGTTTTTAAGAAGTAAAAGTTAAATTGATAATCTTGTCACAAATCAGATAACAATTAGTGTTTCACTAGGAATCTAAAATTATATGGAGCTGAGCTTCAATACGGCCGCAAAAGTCGAGTGTTTAGTGGTGTTTACTATCATGCGGAAGGTCATAAGTTCAAGAACTTAACAAACAAAATTTCAAAAATATTGAAAAATAATATGATTGAAAAAAACAGTGCTACTTTTTTCCGATTGCTGTCGCCCAATTACATATCGTGCAACACCGAATAGTCGCAAAATGCTATGCCGAACTTTTGCAAAAAAAGTAAAAAATTGAAATTTGGTATCTCTGGAAAGAAAATATCGGTCGTGAACAAAAAGTATTTGCTTTGTCGTGTTTCTGTTTTTTTTTTGGGAAATGAACGATACCGACGTTGATCTCAAATATGGAAATATTTCTGCCTAAGAATATAATATCCATATAAAACATGAAAGTGTTGCCAAAGCCGATAAAAAGAGACGACGCTGTTAATATATAGATCTTAGAATACTCATCACTCGGCACAATAAAAAAAAAAATTAATTATTCCATACTCAACAAATAGCATTTGGGAAGCTTTAAAAGTGAATTTAAATATTTGAAAGAGTTCAATAATTGCATGTCGCAAACCTCATGAGGATTAAACCTCTAATTAATTCTTTTTATATCAAGTTAATTTAATTTACATGTGACCATATATTAATATATAATTGGTGCTTTGTAACCGCTGAAGCGATATTCCGCCGAGCTCCTCCTCCAATTTGTGGTTTTGCATCTTGATGTTTTTCCAACAAAGGTATCTACAGTTTATACTGATCCGCCTCCTGGCTGACTGTTTTTTTTTAGAAGGAGCTTCATTTCATATCCGAAATACATTCATTCGGATGGGTGAACATTCCCGGCCGAGGGGGGAAACGGAATTAGAAAATTTAGCTTAATTTTTTTATTTAAATTAATTTTATATAACTTTTGGATGTTGGTGGCACGAGGATTTGAACCCGAGCCTTTCGCACGGCAGTACGCAATGATAATCACTCGGCCACCGCGTCTGCCAATTATAGGTGTAGTAAAAAGGTATCCATTATTTTTGCTGGAATTGGAAGGCTTTAATTTTTTCTTTTCATATCCAGCTTTATCTAAATGGTTCCAAATGGTTTTTTATGCAATCTTTTGCGCTTTAGCAATCGCTAAAAAAAAAAACAGAATCAACCAATCACAAAACTGTTTTTAGTTCGAAATGTCATCTTTCTAACGCCATCTAGCGGAACCCGTTCGGACTTATACAACAGGAAATACTGCAATATCGCGTATGAATTAAAACTGTTTTTTTTCTAAGGTCCGAATTACTTTTTTTAATGAACTATTACATAAATCTAAATACATATAATTCAATAACTATTCGTTCAGTCAAAAAATGTGCCAGCGAGTTTTCTGAAAATCAGTGACATGCCTCAATAGGTTTGTTTATTGAGCTGCTCTTTTTTCCAAAAATTATATTTCATGAGAACTATTGGTTGATTTTGCCCGAGTTTTTCTTTCATGAGTCTGCTCTCATCAGAAGTAGAGCTACTTGGAGCTCGATTTTCCGCTCTGACTTTTTTGTAGAGTAGCTTAGAGCAAGCAATAAGATTTTTTGACAGCCGCTATTGAAAACGAAAGAAGGCAGAATATTACAAAGGAATGTACAAGGAAAATTTTTACTTTTATAAACGAATATATTAACAAAATTTTAAATTATATAATTGAAATGTCCAACATTCGCAGGTGACAATTGTTATCAGTAAAATGATTCACGAGATAAGTGTTGCTCGCTGCTCAAACTTGCTCTATTGTATTTATGCAAGCGGCTCTAACCTGCTTGAACGTGAGCTGTCCAATGATACAATAATTTAGAGGTAGTTTCATTCTATCTCTCGGCTCGCAGTCGGTTTTACAGCTATCTGACATTAAAAATGTTTCGTCTTTTTTGCGGCTACCTTCTTCTTTTGATTATTATAATTATATAGGAAATTTTAATACAATCTGCAAGGCAATCGAAAAAAAGTTTCCGAGAAAGCGATAACTGACCACACTGAGCGCTGATCAGTGGCAGAAGTAATCTTCCCCCGGTTCCTCCGCAGCTACGTCCCTGCATCTGCGACAAAAAACGTTTGAGAAACAGCACATCCTTCTACAATGAACTCCCATAACACAGTATCCGAGTCCGAAGAATAGTTCGATCTCTTAAAACTTTGTTATATTCTCTTTGATCAATGATCAAATTTGTCTGATCACATTGCGGGTAGTTTCAGCCTGCCATCTGCTTTTGGCCCTTCTGGTGAAAGCTTGCCTTAACAGATACTTTGCCGAGGAAAGCGGTATATCCGTGTTAGGTGCAGAATTTGCCCGGGTTATGATTGTTCCCAATCTTTGTAATGTCTGTATAACCAGGGACCAAAACTACGGTCAGTCAACAAAATCTAAGTTTCCAAAAAAAAAAATGTAAAATGATAACACTTTCCAATATATTTATAATAAAAGCATTTAAAAGAATAAAAAAAGAATTTTTTTATATCTCCTTAAAAAAATCGGCTTAAAAAAATAGTTTAATACATCCACACATGTTTTCAATATTATAGCTTCTGCCCAGAAGATAACCACAAATTGATCAAAATTTCGAAGTAAAGCTACTTTATAGAATTTTTGAAAATATCTAATTTATTTTTAGTCTGAATAAAGAAACCTAGGTCCTTACAGGCGATAATAAAAAAACCAAACTAAATTTCGTACGAAAATTTTATATCTAAAATATAACCGAAAGCTATTGGAAGCACAAATTTTTCACTGAGATCGAACTATTGAAAACAACTGGATAGCAAAAATTACATTACTTGGATAGTGAAATACAAAACAAATCATAAATAACAATAAATGTAAGAAATAAATTTATGAGAACAGAAGATAAAGAGAAGTCCAAAATTATATATTCTTGGTTAATATAAATATTACATTTTTATAAAAAATCACAAAACTATTTCCACTTTATTGAATAAGAGTAAAAAACATATCTTTACCTTGCTTCCAGGTCCCAATGGTTGTCCACGTCGACGCGGTCGTCAAACATACACACGATTTCAGACACTTGAATTGGAGAAGGAGTTCCACTTTAATCATTATTTAACGAGGCGGCGGAGAATCGAGATCGCTCACGCACTCTGTCTCACTGAACGTCAAATAAAAATCTGGTTCCAAAATCGGCGCATGAAATTAAAAAAGGAATTACGCGCTGTTAAAGAAATCAATGAACAGGTAATTGAGACAAATCAAGAAATTTTAAGTCAACACTTATTCTCAATGGCCAAATAACATGGAACCTAACTTTAAGACACCGCTAGAAGCACAAGCTCTCACTTATAGAGGGCATATTTATGCTTAAATTGCGTCTTTCCACCAACTGACTGCTACCACGGTGATATACTGTGGGCAAAAAGTAAGGTGAATTTTTAATTTGAGCTTCGCACGTTTAATATTTCAGGTTAATTCTTTTTTTTTTGATGTTGATAGCACTGTTATTGACATCTGCGCCAAACTTCATGTCAATGTGAACATTATTATTTTAGTTACGCTTGTGTTTACTCAATGACTAAAAGTGCCTTCGGCGATTTTTATAATGTCTGATTTGATTGAGCAAAGGAGTGCGATAAAATTTTGTTTGCGGAACGAATTTTCGGCTGTTGAAATATTGAAGATGCTACAGAAAGCCTTTGAGGACTCAACTATATCGCAGAAGAATGTGTATAAGTCGTGCAAAGACTTCAAAGAGAGTCGGAAACGTGTTGATGACTTGGAATGCTCGGAACGACCATTAACGTGAACTGATGTTGAACACGTAAATGAAATTAAGGAAATTGTGGTAAAAAATCGTCGACTAATATTACCGATATGGTTTGAATAGCAGAAGAATCTGTAAAAACGATTTTGAAAGACTATTTGGGCCTACGAAAAGTCAAATCTCGTTTAATTCCAAAAAAAAACTCAATTTAATGGAAAAAAGTCGTCGTCGTTCTCGTGACCATTTAGCTAAAAATTCCACGAATATATCCCCAACCACTGTATTCGCCGGAATCAGCACCATGTAACTTCTGGATCTTCCAAAACCTCAAAAGACCACTTCGAGGACACCGTTTTAAGTCGATTGAGGAGATTAAACGGAAACGGCACGCTGTCTGAAGGCCATACCAGAATGTGACTATTTGACATGCTTCGGTAATTGAAAAAAGCTTTGGCCTAAGCGCATTGCATTGGCAGTGGACTATTTTTGAAGGCGACGAAATTGATGTAGAAGAATATATAAAGATTTTTATTTTGCAAACTAATTCACCCACTAATTTTTTGCCCACGGTATATATAAACTTTTTAATCCCTTAAGTTCAATTTGGCCGAGACTATCCTCCAATTACCTATGTACATCCTAATGCTTTTCAAAATTTACAATCATAACTTTCGTACACCTAAAGAGTATTTTTGTTTTGTTTTTTTTTTTTTCCAAAATTCCAGGCCCGACGCGATCGCGAGGAGCAAGAAAAGATGAAAGCTCAAGAGTCCATGAAATCCGCCCAGCAAGTCAACAAACAAGTGCAACAACAGCAGCAACAGCAACAACAGCAGCAACAACAACAACATCAACAGCAACAACAGGACCATCACTCGATTATTGCACATAATCCAGGGCATCTACACCACTCCGTGATGGGACAGAATGACCTGAAACTTGGTTTAGGTATGGGCGTTGGAGTTGGTTCGGGTGTGGGCGTTGGTGTGAGCGGCGGCATTGGTAGTAATTTGGGAATGATGAGTGCGCTCGAAAAGAGCAATCACGATCTGCTCAAGGCAGTTAGTAAGGTGTCTTCGTAAATTTGCAAGCATTAACAACAACAACAAAAACAACCGCTGTCCTGGCTGACAGTGAAGTGATTTAATAGATGGCGAGGAGATGCCATTGCTTCCCAGTTGACTATTGATTTACATACATAAGCTGAATTGGAAAGCTGAAATATATTCAAAACACACAAAAGATGATAACTTAAATACGTAAAACATTTTACATAGTAAATTAGTTGTATAAGTATACCAACTATAAACCCATATATATATATATATATATATATATATATATAAACTATACTTAAACTCAAAACGTCTATAAATATCAGATATATATATATATACATATATATACATATATATACATATATATATATATTGAGTATGATTCGGAAATAAGCAACTTCAGAAACACGCGTAATACACTTAATTAATATGTGCAGGTTTATTAACATTATTTACATACATACGAGTACATACATATATACGTTCATGTGCATGTACATATATGTTAGCTTACTTATCCAAAATGCTTGTAAATGTACTCAATAATTGGGAAAAGGGATGAACGAACATTAAAATTCGTCGCCAGGAAATACTTGCGTCGTGAAGCGAACCGGTTTTACATAAAGCTTACGATTCTGTTTCTGCTAAAGAATGTAGATTTATGCGAATAACAATGTGAATTGTGCCAGTTGTCTGCAACTCGTGCAAATGATAATAACACTGTTGTAAGATGAGTTGTTTAGGTTAATTAAGTATTTAAAGTAAAGGCTTTCTGATGGCAGCAATACCGTTTCGAGGATTTTCAATATAATTACACTTCATTTTCATAGATTACTGCTCGTGTTAACTCAAGCAAGGTACGAATTCCGTTTATAAGTCGAAATGATAGAGTACATAAATTTGTACTTCTTTCCATGATTTTTTAAACTGAATTTGATGTTTTCTGGTTTATTACTTATTTATTGGATTCATATGCACTGAATATTTGAAAAGTATTCCTAATTCTATTTTAATCTTCATTAACTTTGTATCTTCTACGCACTGTGTTTTCGTTATTATTGAAAAATTATTTGAAAAAAACTCTCAAATGCCATAAATTAGTGATAAAAATTTGCTTACGAAGTTATCACAAAATAAAAAAAAAACAAAAAAAAATTAATGTTAACTACTATTTATAATCTAATGATTGCAACTTAAATCTCATTAATGTAAAAAAGAAAAATCGATAGGTTGGAATGGAAATGTAATGCGATATTTACATAAATTTAAATTAACTCTAAAATGCGAAGTCGACGGATGGATGGCCAACACTTGAGGGTGTAGCCAGTGAAATATAAATACGTACATAAAACAAATAAGCAAATAAACCCTATACAAATTATCCAGTGACTAAATCTAAATTTATATTTGAAATAATTTTAAGTAATGTAACTTTTTACAAGAGAGCAAAATCAACTCTGCAGATCTAAGCATAGAGTTGCTGAAAGTAATGTTTTATAAACATTTAAAGCAATTTAAGGAATGTCCTCCCCGCAAATTTATAATGAAAATACAAAATGCGTGTGCGTACAATTATTGTCAACATGTAGGATTGTATTCCCACAAATTGTTTTATTAGTTTTTTTTTTTTAAGATATGCGGCAAACAGAATATGTATGTTAATTACTTAAGACCAAAATGAAACGAATAAAACATTGGTTAGAAAACAATATCTCAATATACGTATTAGAATTAAGAACCAATATAAATGTACTATACACTTACATACATAAATACATACATACATATATGCTATTTACTACAATATTAAAAATAAAGTATATTTATCTATATCTTCCCAAATAAAACACACATACATGCATATAGAGTAATCAAGTAGTGAAACTTAAAAAAAATCTATAAATGTTTCTTGATTTGATTTGAGTTGATGAAATATAATATACAAGTATAACAGTGAGAAACGTTAAAACGTTGCTTAGCAAAAAAAAAATAAAAAAAAAATGCTTACATGTTATTATAAATGATATGATATATACATGTATGTATGTTTAGTTATTCAAACTGTCACTTGAATGCTTCGGCAGAACATAGAATACATGCGTAATACATGCATGGTTACCGATGAGCGTAAAAACTGCATAATTGACTGAATGCACTTAATAAGCAACGGACTAATTTCAATTCCGTTCAATTTTTTCTTCAACAAACACTCCTTGGTAATCATTTGAATCGAAACAGCATATATGTAGTGTATTTTGATTGTATCCAAAATACCAACATCCAGTGCTAGTATTAATGATCTTTAAAAGGTCCGCGCTAAAGTGTACCGACTGCTCACGGCTCATTCACTTTATTCTTCCACTTTATGTTGCTTTAACCAACTGTAATTTAAATATGTACTTTATAGTTCGATTGAAAAACTCGTTACTTTCATATATGTTTTCTGTTTCCTTTATATTTTGTTAAGGTATACTCCAAGTCATATAATTATCTTTAAATATTCGGTTATCGCCAAATCTATTAAATTTTAGTTAATTTTTGTTAAATAATTTAGTTGTACGTTTTGTAATAATTGTTTAGTTTACTTAATGAAATAAACCTTTGAAAGCCATTTTATGAAAACAAAGTAATGTACTTGTAGATTTAAATTATCGAAATACAAAATACATTGCAAAACGCTTTCGTTTCCTTTAGTAGAGAAGGAGCGCAAATGGATATGCGAATATAATTAAAAAAAAATGAAACTGGATTTTTTATTTTCACACTTTAGAAGCCTTTTTGTAAAATAATAAATTTCTTTTTTTATTATTATTCTCCATTAGATGAACAAGACGAAAAGAGAGCTAACTTGTCACGACTAGTCTTTAAATTAGATGAATCGCCCGAAAATAATTAATTAAAATAGTCTATAACCATCGATAACTCATACTTTTTCCATAATTTTTCATAATTGGCAAAACACTTTAAATATAATGATTTTCGATCACTTTTATCAAAAGATATATACCATTCTCAGAAACTAAATATATACAAATTTGCTCCAACAATTAATGCATTTCTCTTTAAAATTGTTTCTTGAACTCTTTTCAAAAATTAAATTTGTTCACACTCTTAGATTAGACTGAAATTAGTTAGCTTTCCTTTTAGTGTTACCTTAGGATTTTCAAAATACTACATTGTGGCAAGATTGTATTAAGCTCTTAGTTTGGTTGAACATAAGACCCAGCACATGTTTTTTTATACAACTTTTCACCAACATTGACTTGCGTCTAAAAAGTATTTAAAAAAAATTATATTTTACGCACTTTGGAATACTGTAGTAGACATCTTTTTATGTCCGATGGTATTTTCTTCAGACAAACTGAAATTTCCCAGGAATAGATACTCAAACTGGTTGGTCTATCAAAAGAATGCACATTGCTCTTGCGGAGTTTATTGTTAAATCAAGTGTATTAAAAATTTTGATTATCGAAAATGTTCAAATTTTTTCGTTTCAATTAATCAACATCTAGATTAATTAACAATAAAGATTTTCATAGATAATTTTGACAGTGGTTATTGAACTTATCTCAATGAATGGGTACACTAAGTAAAGTAATGGTTTCCCAAACGATAAAAACTCACAATATTTCAGCAACTTAAGGGGTTATATAGGTCTTGAAATTTCAAAAAATTAATTTTTTGATCATTTTTTTGTATAAAAGTACAAATTGTCTGGAAGTTTTAAGTTGATCAAGACGAAATTGTAGAAATTAGAAATTCCTATAACCTGCCGTCTGTGTCATGGCTTGACCGATGATAAAACTTTAAACGCGTTTTTCTCATAACCACTTTATCGAAATCGGTATTCAAAATTTCTCATCGACTATTTAAGCGATCGAGTTCATCGAAAGCACTTTCTTGCGGACGGTCTACTTCACGACACTGCCAACGGCTAAACTTTTACTACGTTTAATTCAAGTTTTCATCAAATGTTGTCCACATATTGTACTTTTATTTAGTAAATTTTTAAAAATTAGAGAAAATAAGCTTTTTTTTGGCCTTCATGACCTATGTAACCCCTTAATTTTCCATCCCAGTTTGTCTAATGCGTAAATTTTTACCATCAGAAAACCCTGTTAAAGGTCAAAAATGTAAATGAAAAGTTTAATAAAATCAATCTAACGACTACCTATACGCTTGTCCTGCCAAGGTAAATCGGTTCTAATAGAAATCATTTTCGGTATCAGGAAACCACAAGCAAAGTGAATTATACCAAGCGATCTTGAATTTATAAAAAAAAATAACGATTGCTTACTTTTATATAAACATTAGGTAGGAAGAGTAGGGTATTTTTTATCTTTAAGCATTATAATGGAATATGTAATTATAAATATATACATATTCTGGATATTGGTCATCATCATTTTCAAATCAAAATCAAAAAGAACCTTTGTTTTGGATTGGGTTTCACTTCATGATTATTAAGTAAAACACATAAAGTTACTATCAATTAAAAGTTAAAGAAATATGCACGTAATACAGGTTACAAAAACTGCATGCCTACAAATACGAATTAATATTTCGAACCAACTCAAATACGTAATGAATTAACAAATTGCAAAATTCAAGCAAACACTTAAATATGTGTACTCACAATATTATGAAAATGAAAACAATACTTACATATATCTAATGTTAGTATTCCAGCTGCAAAAAATCCATATATACGTAATTAAATATCTGGAAAATAAAAGTATTCAACATTAAAGGATTAATTAATTGCAACTAAATTAAAAAAAAAATACATAATAAATTAAGGCAGTGTGTATTTAACTCAAGTAATTAAAGTGTACATAATCAAATAAATGCAAAACTAAACATGAATAAAATTTACCAAAAAAAACATACCTTTTTTGGAATAATAATTTTAAATGAAGTAGCTTACTGTTTTGTGTATCTACATATATGTTAGCTGGGCATTATTCAATAATGACAACCGAAACTCTATAAACCTCTCTTCTTTCTTATGTGCAATGTAGAAGAGCTGAAGTGATTTGGGCTGAACTTTTTCTACAATTTTTGCCGTGCATCTGGATGTTTTCTCAAAAAACAGCTGGAACAGTTTCAAGCCCTGACGAACGGCTGAAGAAAGGGGAACAAGAATAATGTCAGCATACAAAGAGGTGACGCTGTGGTTTTCGACAGAAAGCTTTTGGGTATTCGTATTCATTCGTCTTTCAAAAAAAATAACTGATGGATTATTAACACGTTATTCCAAGTATTGCGAAAAATTCTTTTTCCAGTAACTTTACTTTACAAGTCAAATAAAACAAAATAATACAGAATAAAATAAAACATAACATTATAAAAAAAATTATATGAAAAATCGAATAGTATAAATAAAATCAAATAAATAAACCAAAATAAAAAAAATTATATAGAATAAATTAAGAAAATACAAAAGCAAATAAAAAAATAAAGTTACACAAAATAAATTAATATAAATTTAAATAAAATAAAATAAATTATAATAAAACTACAAAAAAATACAGGAAATGAAAAGAAATTTAGTAAAATAAAATTGATGAATATAAGAAAAAATTAAATTAAATAGCTCAACACAAAATTAACAATTTAAAACAGAATCATATAAATTAAACCCCATTAATCAAAATAAGGGTGAAATCAGACAAAATGGAATAATTAAAAAGAAACTTAATAATAAAATTTAAAAATTAGATAATATAAAATGACATGAATAATAAGATATAAAAAATAACATAAGTTAAAGAAATAAAATAATATAAAATAAATTATTTAAACATTTTCTTAAGCCAACTGATTAGTTTTTGGAAAAGGTTGGACCTTAAAAACCGAGGGTGTTACAAACAAGACTCTCTAAACAATATATACTCGTATATATGTATGTAGAGGTAAAAATCCCATTATGCAAGTTAGTAATACATATTTTCCAGATGTGTGTTTGTACATATTTATCAATAAATTTTAGATAATGCGTCATCAGGGAATAAGAATGCTCTCACACCAGTGATTGAAAGACTCATTTTACAGGAAAACAAAAATTTGTATATGTATTTCTTTAGTAATTTATTATTATAAAGCACTGCGGGTGTACACTTTTGCACAGCGCTGGCAATGGCAAATTTTTGCTACAACACCAAAATATACAAAAACAACGCGTACTTTGCAAAAAGTTCACTGACACAATATGTAAGACAGTTGGAAATGGGTGTATGGCACAAGCCAACCTTTTGGGTGGGCGTACAGCCAAATGAACACGGAGCGTTCAACAAACAAACGTGTCTAAGGTAAGCGAAGGGGATGACTAAATTTGCCGAAAATGTGTTGTATTCGAGAGACTTTATTTTTTCATTAATGGTCGTCCCCTTTACTCCAATACAATCAGATGCAAAGGCGATGCGCTATAATTTGCAATACATTTAGGTATGTACGAGTACTTGAATGTGTTGATATGTACATACTTACACATGAAAATACTCCTATTTGTTTGGAACTTCTGGCGGCAACATGAATGCCTAAAGCATGGAACAGTTACGACTCTACAACACGTTAACAACGGTTGCTTCTCAGTAAAATATTACCGAAACCAGTTGAGTTGACAAATTTAATTTAATTTTGTTTTAGTTTTTATTTTATTTCATTTTAAATTATTTAGTTATATTTTATTTTTTTTAAGGGGTGTGAAAGCCAATTATATGTAAGTCATTGTTCTGACATTGTGGCGTCATGTTGTCTTCCAAATGATCTTGTCTTCCAAATGGCTTAGCCATTGATTTGTTGTTAG